CATTTGTCTTAATGACAACATACTCGCAGCGTGGAGGCTTAAAGACGGACAAATCTTGCACCCAGCCGTTCGTGAATTGGATGTGGGCCTCCAGGGATTTATAATTCTTAAACTGCTTCGCTGTGTATGCGCTTACTCCGCAGACAAGGTATGTGAAGATATCGGGATAGGACAAAGGCGGAAGATCGTCTGGGTTACCACTCCACTTCGTTATTTCATATGGGTCCACATTACCGAAGCAAGCAATTTTTTCAAAGTACCTTCTCTTGGCGTCTGGGCACAATCGGTCGCGATACAGCCCCTTTTCTCTTGCGCTGATTTTGAGCATGATTATATCACTCCCGATTCCAACACTCCAACACTGTGTGCTTGTTTACCTCTCTGGCCAACTGTCATGGCGCGGCGATCTCACAGTGCACGTCAACTCCAGAACCCTATAGTCGGACTCACCTCAACGCATGGCTCTGCCTCTGGAACCAGTTTCCTTGAGAGGGGCTGGACTTTCTACCACTCTGGAGTTGCTCCCACTGAGAGGCGCCGAGCAGGGGTGGGCATACTAGTTGCCTCCCATCTTGGTGCCTGTATGTTGGGGTTTACCCCAGTGAATGAGAGGGTAGCCTCCCTCCGCCTACGTGTGGAGCAGTGCGCTACAACCACTATCTATAGTGGGGACGGTGTGCTGCTGACCCCTACTCAGGACGTTGTGGATCGGTGGGCAGAATACTTCAAAGACCTATTCAGTCCCACCGACTCGTCTTCCAGTGAGGAAGCAGAGTCTGGGGACTTTGGGTTGGCCTCTCAAATCTCTGGTGCTGAGGTCACTGAGTTGGTTTAAAAGCTTTTCTGTGGCAAGGCCCTGGGGGTGGATGAGTTCCACCCGGAGTTCCTTAAAGGGACTTTACGGAGTTTAGAATTTTTATGCTCGCGATTGCCCCCTCAGGCCAAAAGCGTAACGGCAGCTTCAATAGTAGGCTTGATCACGACGTGCGTATGCTGTACGTGCACACTCCTTAACGAAAATAACAGCTGAGACATTCAGCTGTGTGTGTGTGTGTGTGTGTGTGTGTGTGTGTGTGTGTGTGTGTGTGTGTGTGTGTGTGTGTGTGTGTGTGTGTGTGTGTGTGTGTGTGTGTGTGTGTGTGTGTGTGTGGCCCAGAGGACAGGAGAATGCGCAGCTAATTAATTTAATAATTTGGTTCTGACCTTTCTCTTCAGCACAGCCGACAAAGGTTTAAGATGGGTCAGTCCTCCTGCATGCGCTTGAAAATTTGTTCCAAAATGAAAGTTGAACCCACACCTTTTTTATCTATGAATTCAATGACGTTCGGAGAGTCTCAAATAAAAATTTGGGCATCTTACTGTAAAAAATATACCATTAATGTAAAAAAGAAACTCTGAATAAAATATGTTCACATGCAGATTCAAACCCGGGTCCTCTGCACAAAAGTTCGAGATCTCACTAGGCGAACTGACACGCCAGTGACATCACTTGTATCTGTACCATTTAAGAATGGTTTGGAGGGCAATGCCTAGCGTGAACGCGCATGAAGCAGCCTGCTTGACCCGAGCAGCTCTATTTTTCTGTGATTTTACAGAAAAATAGGCAATCACAGTCAAAATACCAGGGCTCATTTTACAGGACCAGGTCATTGCAGGAGAATGTATGAAGAAGACATTTATTATTTCTATACATGTTTTGGCTGTCAAACTTCCATAATGTCCCTTTAAGGCTCTGAATGTTGTGGGGCTGTGTTGCGTGACGCGGCTCTGCAATATCGCGTGGACATCGGGGGCAGTCCTACTGGACTGGCAGACCGGGGTGGTGGTCCCTTTATTTAAAAAGGGGGACCGCAGGGTGTGTTCCAACTACAGGGGGATCACATTCCTGAGCCTTCCTGGTAAGGTCTATTCAGGGGATCTGGAGTGGAGGGTCCATCGGATTGTTGAACCTCAGATTCAAGAGGAGCAATGTGGTTTTCATCCTGGCCGTGGAACACTGGACCAGCTCTATACCCTTAGGGGGATCCTGGAGGGTGCGTGGGAAATTGCCCAACCAGTCTACATGTGTGTTGTGGATTTGGAGAAGGCATTTGACCGCGTCCCTCGGGGGGCCCTGTGGGGGGTACTCCGGGAGTATGGGGTACCAGGCCCTCTGATACGGGCTGTTAGGTCCCTGTATGACCGGTGTCAGAGCTTGGTCCGCATTGCCAGCAGTAAGTCAGGCTCATTCCCAGTGAGAGTTGGACTCCGCCAAGGCTGCCCTTTGTCACCGATTTTGTTCATAACCTTTATGGACAGGATTTATAGGTGCAGCCAAGGTGTGGAGGGCATCCGATTCGGTGGCCTGAGGATCAGGTCTCTGCTTTTTGCAGATGATGTGGTCCTGTTGGCTTCATCAGAATGTGATATTCAGCTTTCGCTGGAGCGGTTCGCAGCTGAGTGTGAAGCAGCTGGGATGAGAATCAGCTCCTCTAAAGCCCCATTCCCACCTGTACCGGGTCGGCCCGGGCCGGGTAACCCCAGTCGGCCCCAGCCTGGCCCGGTTGATTCCACACATCCTTGCCTTAAGCCCATGTGGGCTGATTCTACCCACCAATCCGAGGCTTGCTCTAATGGAAGGTGTGAATTTGCTGTCAGCAGTGGGCGTGTTGGCCCTGGTCGGCCTGAAGCAGTACCCCTCGGGAAGAGGGCCGAGAATGAGCCTTGGTTGGCCCGGGAAAATACCAGGCCACCCAGATATGTAAACAACCTTCGCTACCCGGCCCGGGCCGACCCGGTACAGGTGGGAATGGGGCTTTAATCTGAGACCATGGTCTTGATTCGGAAAAGGGTAGAATGCCTTCTCCGGGTCAGGGATGAGGTCCTGCCCCAAGTGGAGGAGTTTAAGTATCTCGGGGTCTTGTTCACGAGTGAGGGAAAACTGGAGCGTGAGATCGATAGGTGGATTGGTGCTGCATCTGCAGTGATGCGGGCGTTGTACCGGTCTGTCATGGTGAAGAGAGAGCTGAGTCAGAAGGCGAAGCTCTCGATTTACCGGTCGATCTACGTTCCTACCCTCACCTATGGTCATGAGCTTTGGGTAGTGACCGAAAGAACGAGATCGCGGATACAAGCGGCTGAGATGAGTTTTCTCTGCAGGGTGTCTGGGCTCTCTCTTAGAGATAGGGTGAGAAGCTCTGTCATCCAAGAGGGGCTCGGAGTAGACCTGCTGCTCCTCCACATCGAGAGGAGCCAGTTGAGGTGGCTTGGGCATCTGGTCAGGATGCCTCCTGGACGCCTCCCTGGTGAGGTTTTCCGGGCACGTCCAACCGGGAGGAGACCTAAAGGTAGACCCAGGACACGGGGGAGGGACTATGTCTCTCACCTGGTCAGGGAACGCCTCGGGATTCCCCCGGACGAGCAGGCCCCAGTGGCTGGGGAGAGGGAAGTCTGGGCCTCTCGACTTGGGCTACTGCTCCCGCGACCCGACTCCGGATAAGTGGTTGAAAATGGATGGATGGATGGTGGTTGAAAATGGATGGATGGATGGATGGATGGATGGATGGATGGAGTTTTTGGGTTTTGATTTCATGCTCTTCTGAAACCTGTTTCATGTTTTCCTTTTTTTTTATTTTGACCCGGTGTAGCGGGGTGAGGGTGAGGGTGGGGGTGAGGGAGGGTTAAAATAAATGAGAAAAATCAATGAAAAAGATTTTATTAAACAAAGAAAACATTGTGATCTTCATTCCTCTGAAAGGCGGAAACAGCCTCTCCAAGGTTTCCAGTGACGAGTTGCTGGCAGAGGTCAGAAGTCAAAGGGACAGGAGCATTGACCAAACCTGAAATCATTCTCCTGATTGTTGTCTAAATATCTCACATTACCTGCTTGTCTCTGTCCAGCCAGCAGGTTTCTACTTTGGCCTCTGGTCTTTTTTTTTACTACCTAAAAAGGAAGCTGAGTGAAAAGAAAATGCAGAGAATGCAATAAAGAAAGTATAAAAATGACCAAGATGTGTTGATTCCTTTTCTGATTGCATTTATGCATTCATAGAAATAAAGTTCATCCTGGTCTGAGAAGAGTGACCGCTCGTTAGTTTATTTATATATTTTAAAAGGCTCTTTGCCCCCCCACCCCCACCACCACCACCGCCATTGATTATTGACAAGAAACAGAGATTACATCTCAGACTGCTCAGAAAACTTGAGTTTTGTCCGTTTTTGTGTGTTTCCTAATTGTTTTGGAAACGGTTTGAAACTTGCTGTAAACGTCTCTGCTCTGCATGTCCTGCTCCAAACATTATAATATATCAACTGACCCAAGTTAAGCCAAAATGCACTAAATAAAAGACAAATAAAAAATTCCTGCATTTAGCTCTTTGTTAAACAGGAGCATCAAACTCAGTGTAGACACCAAAAGGTACCAGAACCAACAACTTGTTCTGATCCCCATCAGAGTCTTCTGGTCAACAACAGAAATGTTTATCTAAACCATTTCTTAGAAACCCAGCAGGCTGTTCCCTCCATCGGCACCAACCGTAACATCTATCAATACTATCTCCTTGTGAAGATCCAGATACACTCCATTACTACTCTTGTCAGATAAATTCATACTTTTAACATTTAAAACGGTCAGGAGACAGAAAACTCTCACCTCTGTAACACTGTAGCTTCATTTGCTGATTTAAACTTTATGCATGATGACATCACGCGTTGGCCTGACTGGTGGGAGCTTTTTAAGTCAAGAAGTTGGTAAAATTAAGTGAAATTTGAGAGAATATTTTAACTGTCTGACCTAAACCTTATCTTAGAAAACCTCAGCATCGTGCTCCATCAGCACCAACCTGCTGGGCTGGAGACACAAAGAGAGAGAGAGATGGTGAAGTCAGATACGTGAAGCAGCTTCAGGTGTGGTCGTTGCTGCTGACCCACACTGACCAGTCCCAGTACTAGCTGGGTTAGGGTTGGGTGTGTTTACCCCGTGGTCTTCATGTTTATCTAATCAGCTGTCCTCAGTGACTGACAGGTCCACCAGCTGGAGCAACGGTATATAAACTCTGTGTTTAGTCCAGGAAGGCATCCTTCACCCAGAGACTGCTGCTGCTGCTGCTTGGATTCATCACAACAAGGTAAAACCTGACCTCTCTTCATCAGCTGTTACTGCTAGTGATGACATCCACGTCAGAGTTTTTAGAAAAGTCTTTTAATGTGGATTTTCCTCCTGAACACTAAAATGACACGTTCTACCCAGATGGCGTCAGGTCTGCTCTTCCTGCTGCTCCTCGGGATCGGAGGAAATGTGAGTCAGCAGAAGTTCTTCTGTAGTTAAATAATCAGCATGAATGTGACTTTGGTGGATTTATTTTCTCATGATGACCTGATGAGAAACTAACCAATGAAACGTGTTTAAAACCAACGAAGAAGAAGCTTCGTTCATGTTTTACAGACGATCCTCCTCGTCACTGAAGGTCAGGCTCGCTGACAGGAAGGACAAACCGGTCTGTTGTCCCGGCTCAGGGCAGGAGCGCTTTTATTACAGAAAAGTTGTTATTCAGTGCAGCAGGATCAGAAACTAATACCAGCATTCCTGCACTAACGTGCAGCTAAACTGACTGATTATGGATCCATGCTGTCGTTCAATTTTTAAAACATAGATACGCGCAGATAAACGGAGAAGGAAGTGACGCCACCATCAGCGTCAGCCTGAGGAAGTCTGCAGCCGCAGACGAAACGTAGCGAAAAAACAGGTAACGAAACTGTTTCTGTGTTTTAAAAATTGAACGACAGCATGGAATTAAAACCACGACACAGCAAGAACACACCTAAGATGACTAATTATGGTTTGGTGGTAAAACAAGACAAAGGGCCAATTAGATCAACTAAAACTGGCTCTCATTCATCAATTCTGACCGGATTCCCTTTCATTGTGCTGATTACCTCCTTTTTTCTACATGTGTGGTTCGGATGGTTTAGCTGAATTATTTTTCTACTGGATCCAGTTTTTCACTCTTTGTGTTTTCGCTCCCACAGATTTATTGTGAAGCACAATCAGGTAAGTAACTGAGTAGATGCTTTCTCCTTTCTAAGCAGCAGATGAATGCATCATGATTTACTGTCATTGGTCGTCCATAAAAATGTTAACATTAATCCTGTTTGTGTAGATTGTCCTCTTGACTGGACTGAGTATGACAACAATTGTTACCAATATGAGGATCAGGAAAAGACTTGGGCCGATGCTGAGGTACAGCTGATTTTCTGTTTAAAAGCTCTAAGCTCCTCATTTCAAACGAAGGTCCAGCAGAGCAGTCTGCCTCGGCTGGGACTATCCAGCCTTCAGAGATGATTGTTGGACACCTGGATCAGCTGATGTGATGATGTCGTGTCTTACTTTCCCTCAGGCATTCTGCAATCAAGAAGGTGGAGATCTGACCTCCATCCAAAACACAGATCAGTACAACTTCATCAGGGATCTGATCGTCAAAGGAGCAGGATTCAACCAAAAGTCTTGGGTTGGAGGCACCAATCTAGACACGGTGAGATCAGTCACGGTTGTTGTGTTCTGATGGTACAGGACTTGCTGCTGATCCTGGTAAATCTGAGTTCACACTGAGCATGAATGAGTGAATGATGACTACCAAGAAGTAAACTTGACTCTGAGTCACTTCTTCTGTCAGGGCGGTGAGTGGGTGTGGGCCGATGGAACACCGTTTACCTTTACCAACTGGGGTCCAGGTGAACCCAACAACCAAGGTGGAAACGAGCACTGCATGGACATCAACCTGCGCGGTACGAGATCACTGCTGACTACACCGCTGCCTCGTTAGTCAGGACTAGCATAGATCAGCTGTTGAGGTCAGAGCTGAAAACAGGAAATGATCATTTGTATAGCTGATGGTCACATGACCCCACGTTGGTAACAGTTTAGATGTTTCTACATGTATCGAGAAGAAAAGCTCAGATTTCTGACTCTGTTCTTTCTTTTTCAGAGCAAGATTATGTCAACGACGAGGAATGCACCCAAGAGCTCTCCTTTGTCTGTATAAAAGCCATTTAAGGGTGTCCTTGTTGTCCCACTCCTCTGAAACTATGATGTCACCTCTAGTAGGACGTCAAGCCTCGATGACATAACTTCAAATAAAAGCATGTCTCTCTGCAGTCGCTCGCCTGTTTTTATTGGCTGGATCATTTATAGTGGTAACTAAAGCGATTCAGAACACGAGCCACCGCCCCAGGATTATGGCATCAGATGGATCTGATAGACTTCTGCCCAGATTCTGACATACCTCTAATCACTTCAGTAGGTTTGTGAATGGTGCCCTCACACAGAAAAGGGCTTAAACCTACGCAGGCTAACGTTAGCTCTTCTCCTGGTCATAAAGCTAAAGTTCCAGGAATGTGGCGTTCTCCCATTAATCCGTACAATCACTTGCTCCAAACACATCTATCACCATCTTCTGGGCTGAGAAAAGAACAACAGTGGCAGTGAACATGATGATATGATAATAATATAAACGACATGCTGACCGATGGGAATACCTACACAAAACTAACAAAAGATCCCACGGAGGAGGTTGCTGGAACCCCACTGTGGCCCCTCGTGGATAGCATAGGTCAAAAGCTCCTCTTAAAAGCCGGAGAAAAAAAATTGTTTCTGACCCCTGGCTTAATGACAACACTCGAGCTCTTCGGCGCGAGTGTGGATCTCATGAATGCAAATGGAAAAAGGACAATTTAGAAATGTCCTTACAAACTTTTAAGATTCTCTATTTTTGTATCAGAAAGCGGTGAGAACAGCCAGAAATAACTTTTTTAGTAATATAATCACAACACATCTGGGTGATCAACATAAACTATTTAGTACCATTAATTCGGTTGTCTCTTTAAAAGATGCAACTACACCCTCAGCACCAATGACGTCCCTTTGCACCGATTTTATGAACTCTTTTCAGCTTAAAATTCAGAATATTAGGTCAAGCATCTTGCCATTGGTTCAGCCCACCACTGAGGAACCAGTCTGTCCGTCAATTTTCGAATTTTACACTGATCTTCATGATCTGGAGGAGCTGGTCAGGTCCATGAAACCCTCTGGTTCTCCAGAGGACCCCCTCCCACCAAAACTACTAGTTGGGGCTCTTCCTGTGCTGGCGCCATTTATTCTGGAAATCGTCAACAACAGCATTTCGACTGGAGTGTTTCCAACCATCTTTGAGAATGCAGTTGTACATCCGTTACTGAAAAAACCTGGCCTGGATCACACTGATTTTTCTAATTATCGTCCGATTTCCAAACTCTCATTTTTATCCAAGATTATTGAGAAAGTAGTTCACACTCAACTTTCCAGTTACTTAGGAGATCATAGCCTCCTCAATCACTTTCAGTCTGGCTTTAGACCTCACCACAGCACAGAAACTGCACATGGTTGTGTATTAAATGATATCCTGGAGGCAACTGATTCTGGTTCCCATGTCCTTCTGTTACTCCTGGACCTCTCTGCTGCCTTCGACACAGTGGACCATGACATCCTACTTAGGAGGTTGGAGATGAGGTTGGGGGTAACAGGGATCCCACTTCATTGGTTCAGATCATATTTGTCAGATAGACAATTTAGTGTTCACATTGACAGTTTTTCCTCTCCATCTACTCCACTTTGCTGGGGTGTGCCTCAGGGTTCGATTCTAGGGCCACTCCTATTCTCGACATCAAATCTTATCTCAAACGCTGACTAAGGATAAGCGTAAATACAGTAAGATTGTTATTCACGCTGGCGGTAACGACACCCGGTTACGCCAATCGGAGGTCACTAAAATTAATGTTGCTTCGGTGTGTAAGTTTGCCAAAACAATGTCAGACTCCGTAATTTTCTCTGACCCCCTACCCGATCGGACCAGTGACAACATGTTTAGCCGCATGCTGTCCTTCAACCGCTGGTTGTCTAGGTGGTGTCCTGACAACAACGTGGGCTACATTGATAACTGGAAAACTTTTTGGGGAAAACCTGGTCTGATGCGGAGAGACGGCATCCATCCCTCTTTGGATGGTGCAGCTCTTCTTTCTAGGAATATGGCCAGTTTTATTAGTCCTCCATGACTACCCAGGGTCCAGACCAGGAAGCAGAGTCGTAGTTTAACATACCCCTCTGCAGCTTCTGTACTGTTACCCACCCACTACTCCATAGAGACAGTGTCCTGCCCACGGCCAAAATCACACAGATTAAATATCAGGCTTAATAAAGCAAATAATGGAAATCTCGTAAATATTAGAGCAAATTCAACTGAGCAGAAAACTAGAAAAAATAAATGTGGGTTGTTGAACATTAGATCCATTTTTTCTAAGACTTTGTTAGTTAATGAGTTGATTTGTGATAATCAGATCTCTTTGCTCTCTCTCACAGAATCCTGGCTGCAGCAAGAGGACCATGTTAGCTTAAACGAGTCGACTCCTTCTAATTATTTAAATCATCATATTGCTCGAAGTACAGGGTGAGGAGGAGGAGTAGCAACCATTTTTCAATTGGATTTATTAATCAGTCCCTTACCAATTAATAGCTACAGTTCGTTTGAACATCTTATTCTTTGTTTTCCTAATCCAGATTGCAAAACTGTAAAACCACTCTTGTTTGTAGTTATATATATCGTCCACCAGGCCCTTACTCTGAGTTTTTGGATCAGATCTCTGATTTTTTATCTGATTTGGTGCTAAATACTGATAAGGTCATTGTAGTGGGGGATTTTAATATTCATGTGGGCATTAAAAATGATAGCCTCAATGTAGCCTTTAGTAATATCTTAGACTCAATTGGTTTTACTCAAAGAATACATAGCTCAACCCACTCCTGCCATCATACATTAGACCTTGTGCTGGCTTATGGCATAGAGTGTGAGGAAATAACGATCTTTCCACATAATCCAGTCCTCTCTGACCACTTTCTGATAACCTTTGAGTTTTTTATAACTGAGTTATCGAGACATGAAAGTAAATTTCACTATAGTCGGTCTCTAGCTGACAACGCAGTTGCATATTTTCAATCAACTGTTCCATCTTTACTGTCTTCAGCATCTCAGAGGCATGTAGCAGAGGGCAATATTTTCAGTTTTAGCCCCTCACAAATTGATGCCTTAGTTCATCATGTTAATTCCTCTTTACATGTGATATTAGATGATGTTGCCCCTTTAAAAAAGAAGGTAATTAGGGACAGGAAGTTGGCTCCCTGGTTTATGACCCGCACTTGTATAGCGCCTCTCAGAGTAAGGACTCCAAAGCGCTTTACACTACAGTGTATCATTCATCCATTCACACACACATTCATACACTGGTGGGGATGAGAGGCGAGGCTGCCGAGCACAGGCGCCACCGGACCCTCCGACCACCACCAGCAGGCAAGTTGGGTTAAGTGCCTTGCCCAAGGACACAACAGCAGAATTCTCTGTCATTTACGAGCCTTAAAACAAAACTCTAGGAAATTGGAGAGAACATGGCGCTCTACGCACCATGAGGAGGCCTACCTATCCTGGAAAAATAGTCTTGTGCTTTATAAAAATAAGCTTCGACAAACTAGAACTGCTTATTTCTCAGCACTAATTGAGGAGAATAAGCATAATCCTAAATTTCTTTTCAGTACAGTTGCTAAACTTACACAGAATCATAGCTCTGAGCCATCTATTCCCTTAGCCCTCAGCAGCAATGACTTCATGGGATTTTTTTTACAAGTAAAATTAATTCTATTAGAAACAAAATCTTTAGCATCCTCCCTAATGCGATTTCTTCTTCCGCCGTAAGTGAGGCAGCATCAGAGGTGACTGTAGAACCTCATCTGTGCTTGAACCGTTTTGATCCAGTTGAGCTTTCAGAGTTATCAAAAATATTAGCTTCATCTAAACCTTCAACTTGCATTTTGGATCCAATCCCAACCAAATTATTTAAAGAAGCATTTCTATTGGTTACTGCCCCCATCCTAGATATAATCAATCTATCCTTAGTAAATGGGTATGTACCACAAGATTTTAAGGTTGCTGTAATCAAACATTCACTTAAGAAACCTTCTCTGGATCCAGATGACCCAATGAATTATAGACCAATATCTAACCTTCCATTTTTATCCAAAGTCCTGGAGAAAATAGTGGCCATCCAAGTATGTGAGCATTTAAACACTAATGATCTGTTTGAGGAATTTCAGTCTGGTTTTAGAGAGTATCACAGCACTGAAACTGCATTAGTGAGAGTTACAAATGATATTCTCATGGCCTCAGATAAGAATCTTGTGTCTGTTCTAGTCTTGTTAGATCTCAGTGCTGCCTTTGACACAGTTGATCACAATGATATTCTCATGGCCTCAGATAAGAATCTTGTGTCTGTTCTAGTCTTGTTAGATCTCAGTGCTGCCTTTGACACAGTTGATCACAATGTTCTTTTAGAAAGACTTGAACATGTTGTAGGGATCAAAGGAACAGCGTTAGGCTGGTTTAAATCCTAGCTGTCTGACAGATTTCATTTTGTAAATATACATGACAAATCGTCTTCATACTCCAGGGTTACTTGTGGAGTACCACAGGGTTCAGTGCTTGGACCAATTCTATTTACTATATATATGCTCCCAATTGGTAAAATCATTAGACAGCATGGGATAAACTTCCACTGTTATGCTGACGATACTCAGTTATATTTATCCATTAACCCTGATGAACCTAATCGGTTGGGTAGATTACAGGCTTGTTTTGAGGACATAAAAAATTGGATGACTCTAAACTTTTTGCTTTTAAATCAAGACAAAACGGAAGTTCTCATCTTTGGACCAGAAATCCAGAAAAGGAAATTGCTTAGCCAATCAACTGACCTGAATGGCATTACATTAATCTCCGAGAACAAAGTAAGGAACCTTGGTGTTATCTTTGACCAGGACATGTTATTCAAATCCCAGGTTAAACAGGTTTGTAGGATTTCCTTTTTCCACCTTCGGAATATTGCTAAGATTAGAAGCATCCTTTCCATGAGTGATGCTGAAAAACTAGTTCATGCATTTATTACATCAAGACTGGATTACTGTAATTCATTACTCTCAGGAAGTCCACAGAATGTAGTTAAAAGTCTTCAGCTTGTCCATAATGCTGCAGCTAGAGTTCTGATGAGAATTAAAAAGAGAGATCATATCTCTCCTGTCT